AAACATATCATTAATACCAAACAAACAAAATAATTAATTAAAATTAAAATAATTAATATTACATTAATTATTTTAATAAGCCGAACAAGTAAATATTAATTTTTTTCTGATATATATGGAATATTAAATCTTAAGAACAGAATCTTTTTTTCAGTCTGAAATAATCTGTTTTTAGTGCCTTGTTACTAAGCTATATTTTTTCCCTATATTTTTTTGTCTATTCCTCGTTATGAGTGATAAATCCTACTATTTAATAGGCATGCAGGAAGAGACAGCTGATAAGCTACCCTCGTTTTACAGAAGAATCTTAACAGTACATTTATTCTGTATTATCCACGTGTGACTTACACTAAATATAGACTGTAATTATCTCTCAAGATAATTACGGTGTATACTTAGTGTATGGCACACAGCTGTATAAACTTTTGAGTACAGTGTCGATTTATCGACCGATAATAGATCATTTTTGCAGATGAACGTTCCATTGTATGGCGTTCTCGGAGCTGCCGCTACTCTGCTTGCTTACATCCTCGGTATAGGAACAATTGTAAAGCTTCTCATCTGCTTGCTTGCATTAATTCTAGGGTAAGATAAGATAATCCAATTAAAAGTGAAGTGTTGCATATATAAACTATATTGCATAATGATATTAACAAATTAAAATATGTATCAAAGGATAATGAAAGAAGATATTCTGTTGCAGAACATTGATTTGTATATATAGAACGTATTCACCGAATCTCGACAATGTGATTAAGTCTGAAAGGGAAGACTTAACTAAGAAGACTGAAAAGTTCCGGCAGGTAATTGCAAATTTTGAAATGCGTTTGCCATTCATCAGTTTGCTAATAATATTCTATATATGTGTTGTATTTGCAGTATATACTGGATCTATCTAAGGAGAAGATGACATTTACATTAGATAGAAGAATAACTGGTAGTCGTATCATTGATGAGTCCCTGCAAGTACATACTCAATATTTATAAAACAATGTCGAATTATCTGCTGATTATTGGGTTAATGTATCCATTGCTATTTTCAGGAAATCTTGGATTTCTTGATTAGAGATTATGTGGAACCATGGTACAGCGTTGTTACGGATGATGAGGAATTTATCTATTCCGTTCGAGATACTGCCCAAAAAATTGCCATCAATGTAGCAAATCGGTATATAGAAACATTTTTTATTTATGATTAAATTTTATTGGAATTAGAATATTTTATAAGTTAAATTTTTTCAACTTTATTAAATTTATTTAAGACCTTCTATGGTATGCCTTCTAACATTTTTTCTTAAAAATCTTAAAAATATTAAAGTGCGAAATAGAATCGGTTTATTTTAAAGATCAAAGTTTTACTATTTAATGTCGATGTACAAAACAGGGTCAAGAGCGTCGATTGGATATCCTATTTAACTACGCGGCTCGTCGACGATGCAGCTTCGCACGTCAGGCTGTATCGACAAGCAAGCGCAAGGATGAAGCAATTGCGATCGAATAGGGTCCAGAAAGGTAGCGCTAGCTCGAGCACATCAGGCGGGACTCCAAAAAAGACGCCCACTCATCGGCGGAATAAGAGTGAGACTGACGTATCTTGGTATTCGCAGTCAAAATTTTATATACCTAATCTGTCATCACTTACCGAGCCAATCGAGTCATCTGGTGATGATAAGGAAGACGAATCGCTAGAAAAAATATTCTTCGATCTCGAAGTGCAAATGGAGAGCAATCTAATATGTAGGGATCTTGTATGCACGAACGACACCCAGGAATTGGAGTTTCTGGGCGAGATATCCGAAATCCTTTTGTACCTGGTATTACCCAAGGCGGACTTCGATTGTTTGACTGTGAGATTTATCTTAAGAGAATTATTAGTGAACGTTATAATCAGACCATTGTTGGATTTGTTTTCTGATCCTGATTACATTAATCAGGCGTGTATATGGCTGGTAAATAACAATACCTTAGTATTTATTTTATTTTATATTATATTTTATTTTATTTTATTTTATATTTTTTCACTATGTGTAATTCTAACACTTGTATCTGAATTATATATTCTAACTGTTAATAAATTTATATATTCTGACTGTTTTTTATTTTAGTGTACTAAGGATGGTGGTTTACCAAGTGATATCTTTTTAACAGTAATTAGAATAACAGACAACTTAGAAGAATTAATAGCGACGAAGAACATAGTTTGTAAAGAAATAGCTCACTTGCGCTCAAAGGATTCGGGCGGAGATGATGATCTGTCGGTGAAACAGCAGTTGAACAGTCTGCTTTACGTGAAGAAAATTCTGGAAACGAGGATCATTGGTATGCAGGAAGGCTTGGAAACAGAAACTGATGGTATCGGCGCTCAACCAGAATGGAATAGGTTACTCATACCGGGTCAGAAGTTAGTTAATTTGCCGTTAGACGAATTGCTGAAAAATAATATTGCTCTTAGTTACTTTATCGATTATATGACCTCCATAAATGCAGAAGCGTACCTGTTTTTTTATCTAAATATCTATGGCTGGAGGGTCTCAGCCGAGCAACAAATATCGGACATTGAATTACAAAAAATCCAAAGTGCTCAGTCCGGCGCGGCGATCGGCGCTAAACGCAAAAATTCGGATCTAAATAATTTAAAGGAGGCAGCCACGAAGATCTACCAGCAATACCTTAGTGATAAAGCGTCACCTAAGCTGCAGCTAGATGATGTGTTGGTGAAAAATTTGCTTACAAGAACAAAGACGGAGCCAGTTAGGGAAACATGGTTCGATGAGTTACGAAATTGTTGTTATGAAAAATTACAAAATGAGGACAGATTCCTACCAGGCTTCAAGAGATCATTAGCTTATGTAAAATTGCTTGCGGAACTGGATTTGTTGAAGGATCCAGTGTCAGAAGATGACACCAAATCCTTGGACAGTATAAGTTTGTCAAGCACGAACAACGAATTGGACACTTTGGAGGAATTGTCCGAGACGTACAAAGCTGATGACATAAAATCTGCAACCATAAAGGAGGGCGCTAAGAAATCAAATTCTTCGGCGAGTTTAACAAGCATAGGAGAGACAAACGAAGGTAGAGAGTACGACGAAGTAGATACGGATATAAATAATCTTAAAAGTGTGAAAAATATATGTAAGGGATCCATCGCAGAGGTTGAACAAATCGGCGAAAAAAAAGATGTTTCGTTTTATATGGAAACCAACGCGGAACAATTTGTCAAGCTGGATGAAAATAATTATGATCAGAACGCAATTAAAAAGCTGCAGCAGGGCCGTTTCGAGATCACTGCCACAATTATAGAAACCGGTATCGTCAGCGATCGCGGGAAAACGTATGGCATATACGCAGTAGCAGTCACGAAAAATTACGATTCGGGTTATAAGGAGAAATGGCATATTTACAGACGGTATTCCGATTTTTACGATTTGCACCAGAAGATCAAAGAAAAATATTACGATCTAGCAAAAATACCTTTCCCCGCGAAAAAAGCCTTTCATAATATGGAGCGCACGGTATTAGAAAGACGAATGTTGATGTTGAACGCATGGTTGTGCCAACTGACAAAACCCGCGATCATGGATGGTCACATGGGATTGCAAAATCTGTTACTAGCCTTCTTGGAGCAGGGAGATTATGATAAAGGAGTCACAGGCGGACAGATTTCGAGAACGGTAAACATGACGAATGACTTGTTTACTTATATAAATAACAATATTTAATTAATCATGAAAAATTTTTATTTAAAGAAAAATTATTTCTTGAATTATAAAAAAATGACAAATTTTATAACGATTCTGAATATTCAAAAACTAATTATCTGGTGAATATTTGTTTTATACAGATAGACACTTTAATGAATCCCTTAAAAACGTCCATGAAAAGCGTTACACAGGCGGTCAAAACGATGCCTGATAATATGTTGAGTACCGTCGACGGCGTAATGGACAATCTCAGCAAAATTTTCGGCAATCCTAAAAAGACAAGTATATTTTACGAGAATACCAAAGTTAGCGCCGGTCTGGATACAGAGGTATCTTCTTAAATATATTTTACATATTCCTAATGACACACTTATCTTTTTCGGATGTCAAATTACTAATTGTATCATTCAATTTGTGTTTCCCGCAGACCGATGACAATATCCCATTGCGAATTATGCTGCTATTAATGGACGAGATCTTTGATCTGAAAGTGCGAAATCAATGGTTGAGGCGACGGATTATAACACTACTGCGCCAAATCATTCGCACAATGTTTGGGGACATAGTGAACAGAAGGATAGTAGAGTATGTGTCGTTCATGACCAGCCCATCAAAAGTTGCGGGATATTTGCGCTTATTCAAGTAAGTCGATAATGCTAACGTTTGAAACGTAACATTTCCAAAAAAAGCATTGACATTTGTCAAAGAATGATACTGATATTTTCATAATAAAAAATTCTGTGCATTTTATCATTTTAATGATTTCTTATATGATTAATGGTTATAATCATCTAATTTCCATTTAACATTTGAAGCTAATATGGGGAAAAATTAAATAACTTAATGACATTTTGCAGGAATAGCTTCTGGCCGAATGGCGTAAAGGCCGAGAGCAAACCACCGCGAGACATGGAAATGAAGAACAGAACACGAGTGGCAGCTAAGATTGCTTTACTTTCGTGTCTCTCGGATGAACTGAAACATATCATAGGCAGCGAGACGACGAGGCGTGGTTTGCTAAGGGTATTCGAACTGTTTCAGCGGCCCGTATTAAATAGAAGATTGTTGTATGTGTTGTTGGAAGGTATCGTGGAGACTCTGTTCCCACAAAACAATCTAGTGGCAATTTTCAGGAAACTCTATTCAGTATCGCCAAGGGTGAGAAGTAAAAATAAAACGAAATCCTGATGGAAGAATAGGACGGACTGATGTCCGAATATAATGGTGTGAGGACGATCACATAGTTGATATGATTAACAGACTTCATTATCGATCTTTAGGAAAATATGTCATTTCTCTTTGGATAGCTTAGAGATTTATGATATTAAAAAAAACTTGTGTGCAAAGTGTCCAACATAAAAGAAACATATTTCAGATATCTGTATCTTTAATCTTTTCTAATCAATTGAGCTCTGATTTTATTTTTTCATTTATTTTATCTTTGCAGTAAAACATTTAAAAATTGATAAAGTATTTGTAATTAAATCCTTGACTGTTGTAGAAAAAGAATATTCTCTTCTTTTCTCTTTTTTTTATTTTAAAAATAGCAATTATGTATATGTATTTGTTAATTGTAACGTGTACTTAATATAAGCGTGAAATGTAATCTACTGTCTCACAATATTCAATGATTGCAGTATTCACGTTTTTTATAATTTTTTATTGTACTGTTTCTTGAGAGGTTTTGAATGCAGAGTTCAATAGGCTAAGAAGTCATTACGCTTACTAAGATATTATTGGATATCGTTTAGCCTTTTCAAACAGTCCTCTAAACTGCTAAATGCATATATACACCATTGCATCGGGCACCCGTCGCGCCTATAGCTTTCGACAGGGAACAAAACGAAAGTCATATGCTTTCATATTTTGACGATTTATATGTTCAACGATGCACACGTTGGAAAAGTTACATTTTGTTGATTTTTCTTTTCTTTTGTTTAAAAGACGCCGAGAACTTTGCGAAATGGGACAAAGATGTTTTAGAAATATTGAAAAATTTTAGATCTGCAACCGTATAAAAGATACAAAGAAATAAGCAATGTTTTTCTTGTAGAGAAGGCGATACTCTCTCTGTCTCTCTCTCTCTAGATCTTAGAAAAGAATATGAATTCTATACTATTGAAATATTAAAAAACTATGATATTGTATAAATGTAAGCTTAGTATTTTTTTTTATTCTGTCTCGTTAGGCTTATGGATAGATCGTTTCATACATCACATGTATAATAATAATAATAATAATAATAACTTTTCCCTATTCCTATTAAATACAATAAAAAGTTTCCCTATTTCCTTAAAATAAATTGTAATCAACGAATTACTGACTGCGCAGTTAAAAAGGCAGACGATGTAAAACTTTTCCAGAGTGTGCAATTATTATAAGTGATCTAGTGGCCAAAAAGTACGATATATGGATTTCAATTGCGTAATCGAGTTTACAGCTCGGATTGCTATTCTCGTCGTATTAATGTAGGGTAACATAAAAAGAAACTCACGAATTCCTTGTGATTACCTCGTAGGGAAATGCAATAAGATCCATGAAAACATTCCACTTGCATTTTAAGCTACACCGGCTAGTTAGTTAATTCCCCTTTTTACAGCTATCCTCAAAACTGCAACGTACTACGTAGACGTAAAAGAAACACATCACAATTTACTTAAGTTCTAGATGCAAAGTAAAGCAAAGAATGCAATCTATTTAGACATAATTTACCGCCGATGTTATACTTAATTATGTTGGACTACACAGTGAAGTTTATTTGTGCCATTCGATTGAGCAATATCTATTTATTTATTAGCGAAAAATTACTAACGATAGTCTTGATGGCGCTCTTCAGATATTTCTGGAAATTTACGAGGACTTGACTCCCCTTGAAGATGCAAAATGCAATTGTATAAAATTGTTGTACATTACTCGTACGTCTGTAAAAAAAGGTTATTTCTATCTCATGTTAAAAAACACCATACACTTATCATGTTTACTTATTAAAGGAACTATTTGTAATTTGAGTAGTTCCTAGTTTTACTCCTAAACGTATCCTCGTATACGCCAAAAGTATACATCTATTTTTGTAGATACACATTTTGATATTCGATATATGCAAAACTGCCGATGATAATTGATTTTAACAATTTATTTTTATTTAAGAATATTATATTTTTATGTTAATTACATGTATGTATTATATAAAATGAAATTGCGTTCTAGGGAGGATTAAGAAAATCCCATCTTAGAAAATTTATTGGCAAAACTAATGTAAATACTATTATTAAAAATTACTCTTAGAAAACTACAAAAATTAAAATTAGATTAGTCTTCGATTTTTTTAGAAAATATAGTGACATCACCGTTGCACTGAATTTCATCTTTGACTCAAATTAGAGCGATTATAGAACTATGTTAGAATAAGTCGTAGCGCTAAGTGAACCTTTCTTGCTTTCGAGCTTAGTTAAGGACAGAGTCGGCTGCCGCTTCAAGTGGGTTCGATTATTTACTGGGCTTGTCGAGCTCGCGCGGGCCCTCACTTTGTCATCGACTAAGAAACGAAAGCAAAAAACGGACGAGGGTGTTCGAAAACAAAAGAAGTTTATTACCGCGCACGCGGGGGAAGCAGAAAGGGACGCTCGAGAGAGAAAGACCGGTCGAGGGGGGCGATCAGTGGTTCCGCCATGGGCAACCCCCATCGTACTTTGTGCCGCTTCTCTCTTAACTAAAACTTGATGAGCCTGCGTGGTCTTTCGACGTAACAGGCTCGCACAACCACGCGGAAATGCTAGGGTAGGTCTTCCCAGTTAAACAAACTTCTTGTCGATAAAATTATAAACTTTTTAGGAGAATCACTTGTACAATAATTTTCTTTGCGAAAATCTTTTGTTCGTCAAAATACAATAAAAACAAATTAAATATGCAAAATATGGATTAAAATTAAAATATCCGATCCGTGAGATTTCCAAAATTTCCAAATTTCTGCATTTAACGGAGTTAATTTTAACGGAGGATATTTTACTGGGGCGCAAAATGTCATCGGAGAGAACAGGGGGGAAGGAGCGATGAAGCGTCGCGAAGGTACAGAAGGGAATAAGCGTCGAGGGCTTCGCGCGACGTAACAAGGAGGGGTACGTAGAAAAGAGAATGGGGGCACGGCGAAAGAGAAGAAAGAGAGAGAATAAGAGAGCAAGGGGGCAGAAAGAGAGAGAGTGAGGATACGGGCCATTGTGCGAAAAGAATCCGGTATTGCGCGTGTATGCGTTTTCAGAAGGGGGTTCGTCTGTGGCGCGACGCGGCCCCCGGGCTCTCCGTTAGAAAGAAATGGGAAGGGGGCGAGAAGAGAGAGAGGCGGGAAAGGGGAAGGTAGCGGGCATACGTGAGCGACTACCGAACGGCCCTCGCTTGCTCCAACGAAAGAAAATCGATATGCATGATTCACGCACGCGAGAGCATGCCGAAGAGGGTTGGAGGGGGACGAGCGGGGCGCTCTTACTAGGGGAGCAGAGGGATGGAGAGAGCGAGAGAGAAAGAGAGGGCCGAAAGAAAGTCGGAGAGAGAAAGGTAGAGAATGACGGATGGGACGGTGAGAGGGGACGGACCACGCTCTCCGTCGCAGCGCACTTCTCTTCCCTCGAACCGCCTCGTGTTCTCGAAACGAAATGGGGGACGTGCCTCCGGGTGTACGACGTAGAAACAGTAGTACGCACACCGCGCCCGGACACACGCGTGTAATTCTATACATAAGCGCCCGCGCGCGTGTCCCGCGCGACGGGGAGAGGTATACCCCGCGATGCTACCCCCTCGGTCACTCGATCAGTCGTGTCCGAGGTACCCGCGTTGTCACGTTAGTAGCGTCGCGTCACGTCGCGTCGCGTCGCGTCGCGTCGTATCGCATCACCGCGTGTCTGCCTGGCACTTCTGTCTAGCGGCGACGCGCCACTTCCGGTTAACCGAGTTTTCACCCCCCTAAGCAAGGAAAAACCGTTGTAATTCTGCGATGAGAGTTTGTCATCTCGCACGCAAGTTACGGAGGGTAAACGTGTGTTCCATGCAACGAATCGTCGCGTTTTTGGTTCAATCATTTTTCGATGGTTGTTGCGTCACGAATGTGATTCAACTCGCGTTTTTAAAAATGTGAAGTGTGTTCTAGTCTGATACAGTGGAGACTTTCGCGAATGAATCGAGCACAACATTTTAAGAGTCAAAAATTCATGTTAGATCTAAAAGATATCTAAACAAATTTCTTAAAAAATTAAGAATATTTTTTAAATGCTTGCTTTCAAAAAGTTTTGTTGATTTTCTTGCGCGCAACTTTTAATTTTTGACGTTTCAACGATCGAAACTCAAATCAGACTTCCAAAATACAATTTATTTTTATTTATTTGCATTGTTTCTCTCATTCAAGTTATCAATTAACATTAACGCCTTTAATCTATATAAAACGATATTAAGTTTTTATTAAAGTTACTTCTTCGATTTTTAACAATGTTCAAATAATCAAAAATATTATATTATATTTTCATAGGTTTTTTTTCCAATTTTCTCACGTCAATTTAGTGCAACACACACGCTATTAGAGAATATTCGTTTTCCGGGAAATATTTTGCGCAAAATTGTAGTTTTCGACAGGTCACGGCAACAACCTAACACACTTCTGTCCAATCAAGTCTTCGTGATTTGAGAGAATCTGGAACGAAGGCTCGTCGAAACTGCGACGAAATAATTTGGAGAACAAAGTATCCATCAGCAACGCGACGCGCGCTTTCCCGCCACGAGGTGTAGTAAGGGTGGCGTAAGAATGAATGGAACAGGAGGGTGAATCAGCCCGCGAATGTTATTTGCGTTGCGAAACACGCGTCGCTTTCAATGAGAACGACGCCGGTTTCTGATCGTCTTCATGTTCTTCCTTCAATGTATTCGTTCAAATTGAAGCAAAGATTATCGGAACATAAGTAGCTTTATGTTTTATCGTGAAAAATTGAAGAAGTTAACGCAACATTAAATCGGGAGCGAGAAGAACCGAAAAAACTTTCATATAAAAATGTTTAACTCGATGGATATTTTGAATTCAAGGATGCTTAACTCGATCGTCCTCCTTTTGCTCGTCTTGATTGAGCTGTTGAGCATTAATGAAAATATGAAAATGAATATTTCACAGATATTTAAAAAAAATGACATTAAGATACATAACAATAATTCTGAAATCAAAATATTGCTATACATATAGCACAGATTGCTATAATGTTGTAAAATTGGAGCAATACTACTACAATAGTGCTGCAAAATTTGTGCTGTATGGATAATATTGCTAATATTCCATATCATGGGTAGTAAAGGTAACATCCTATAAGAATTGATCGGATGCAAGAATAAGGATTCATACGCCTTGTTTATAGGATAAGTCTCTAATTGATCTGGAAAGACGATCAATTTGGAAAATTAGCGCTAATTATTGCTCTCTTCTCTCTCTCTCTCTCTCTTCTTTCTCTCTCTCTCTCGAAACCCTGCGACGCGGGTTCACATTTTACGGGCGTTGTAATAGGATTACGTAAAAGGGGTGCGTGCAGATCGATTACGTCCAAACAGCGTCGAACTTTTCCGCTTGTAGGATCGGTATGACTCAGAAAGCATGTGATGACGTCGCGTGCGCAAGAAAACATGCGTGTGCGTGGAATCTGCGTGACGCATTCTAAACTCACTCACGAAAGTGCGTCTCCGCCACTTTCTTTCATCCGCGAATGCTTTCATCCATTTACATTTTTCCTCGAAAATGAGAAATAATTAAAAAAAAGAAAAAAATCATCTCATGCATTATAATTTCTAATTAGATTTTGGTTTTTTATTTATATGAATATCAGTTA